GCCTTTCCCTCTTCAATTTTCGTGCTTTTTGGCATCCTTTCTTGCATTATTGCACAGGCTGTTTCTTCCATGCAATGTTGAATAGAAGATCTGAGAGCAAACGTTGTGGTTTCCCTGTCTTGGTGGAGAAGAGTTCAGTGTTTTGTCATTAAGTATAATATTAGCTGTAGATTTTTTTGTACGTTCCTTTTAGTAGGTTGAAGAAGTTCTGTTCTCTTTCTGGATTACTGAGAAGTTTTAGTCATTAATGAGTTGAATTTTATCAAGTGCATTTTCTTGTCTGTTGAGATATTTTCTCTTTTTTCTGTTAATTTGGTGAATTTATTTCAAATAGTAAGTCTTACATTTCTAATATTAAACTCTGATTCTTGCTTATTAAACTTTTTGTGCATTTGCTTATGTTTTGTAAAGAATTTTTGTATCTATGCTCATGAGAAATACTGGTCTAATTTTCTTTGCTTCAGGTGTTTTTGTCAGGCTTTTGTATCAGGGTTCTGCTGACCTCACAAAGTAAATTGATCAGTATTCTTTATTCCTGTGTTTCTGAAAGAGTGTAATAATAGTGTTTTTTTTCTTTAAATATTTGATAGATTTCACCAGTGATAGCATCTTTGTGGGAATATTTTTTTTAAATAATTAAATTTTTTAAGTAGATAGAGAGCTATTGATATTTAGTTTCATCTTGTATCCCTGTGTTGGATTTTTCAAGGAATTTGTCCATTTTATCTAAGTTATCAAATTTACTGATATGAAGTTGCTTATAATAGTCCTTTATCCTTTGAACATTTATTAGATCTTTAGTGATATCCTTTCTTTCATTCTTGTTATTGGCTATTTGTATATTTTCTATTTTTATTCTTGATCATTTTTGCTAGGAGTTACCAATTTTATTGACTTTTTCAAAGAGTCAACTTTTGGCTTTATTCATTTTCTCTATTGTTTATTTTCTATTTTATCAATTTTTTTCCCTGGATAATTTCTTTTGAGCTTCTTTCAGGTTCATTGACACTTTCTTCTGCTTTATCCAACCTACTTTTAACTGTATCCAGTGAAATTTTTCAATTCAGATAAGATCCTTTTTATTCTAGGGTCTCCATTTTTTTTGTTTGACATTTTCCCGTTTATCTGCTGAGAGCTCCTATGTTTTCACTCATTGAGATTACTTTTGCATGTAAGATGGGATATTAACAATAGCTTTATTAAAGTACTTCTTCCAGTTATGTCTGATTTGCTCTTTTCTAGATTTTTTTTTTTTAAAGATTTTATTTTTTTCCTTTTTCTCCCCAAATCCCCCCAGTACATAGTTGTATATGTTTTTTTTAGTTGTGAGTCCTTCTAGCTGTGGCATGTGGGATGCCCCCCCCAGTCTGGCCTGACTAGTGGTGCCATCTCCACGCCCAGGATCTGAACCAGCAAAACCCTGGGCTGCTGGAGCAGAGTGCGCAAACTTGACCACTTGGCCACAGGGCCTGCCCCTAATTCTATTTTGCTCAGAGAGTATACTCTGTAATATTTCAGTTATTTGAGACATAGTATATCTTTTCTATTCTTTGACTTTCAGTCTGTGTCTTTGCATTTAAAGTTGTGTCTTATAGATAGCATGTAGTTGGATATTGCTTTTTTACACTGTCTGACAGTTTTTCCCTTTTATGGAATATGGTTCATTTTCATTATATATGTATTTTTAAGTCTACTGTGTTACTGTTTCTTTTTGTTTCATCTTTTGTTTCTCTCCTTCTGTTTATTATTTATGTTGTTTAATGTTTATTATTCCATTTTATTTCTTGTCTTAGCTTTTTAGTTATTCCTATTGCAGTTAATTTAATTTTTAGTGTTTGGTCTTGGTATTATAATATGCCTTTTTTTAAATGCAATCATTTTTTCTTTTTTTAAGATTGACCCTGAGCTACCATCTGTTGCTAACCTTCTTTTTTTTCTTCTTCTCTCCAAAGCCCCCCCCAGTACGTAGTTGTATATTCTAGTTGTAAGTACTTCTGGTTCTGCTATGTGAGAAGCCGCCTCAGCATGGCTTGATGAGCAGTGCTAGGTCCGCGCCCATGATCCGAACTGGCAAAACCTTGGGCCACCGAAGCCGAGCACATGAACTTAACCACTCGGCCATGGGGCTGGCCCCACAGTGTGCATTCTTAGCTTGTCTTTGGCTACTTAGAATTAATATTTAACCACATGATTCTTCACAAATATAAGAACCTTAAAATAGTGTAATTCCATTTACTAACCTCCCTCCACCATTTGTGTTGTCATATATTTTACTTCCACTTATGTTACAAATGACACTAAGAAATTATTTGTGCTTCAGACAGAAATTTATCTTTTAAGGAAATGATTTCTCATTTCCAGCATTCTTCGTTTCTTCTTGAAGTTTCGCATTTCTATGTGATATCATGTGATTTAATTCAACCTAATGTGCTATTTAAAAAGTATTTCTTGTGGTGAAGGTATGCCGGTCACTAATTCTTAGCTTTCTTTCATCTGAAAGTGGCTTTCTTTCACTTTTGGTTTTAAAGAATAACTTTACTGGATGTAGAATTCTTGGTTGAAAGTTTTCTTTCTTCCTTTCATTGCTTTCAAAATATCATCCCATTTTCTTTTGGGCCTCCATTGTTTCTAATAAGAAGTTAGAAGTTCCGCTGTGTGTTGTGTAGTTTTTCCCTCTCTGCTTTCAAGATTTTTGCTTTATTTTTGGGTGTTAGTACTTTGACCATGATATACCTAGATTTAGTTTTCTTTGCATTTGTCCCTTATGAGATTGCTGAGTTTCTTCAATTTGTAGGTTAATGTTTTTCACTGAATTTGGGAAATTTTCAACCATTATTTCTTCAAATGTCTTTTCTTTCTTCAATTTAGTAGAACGTTAACAGCTATTTAGTAGTTTTAAAGTTTTCTTTTCTAATGCCAGTATTACAATCATCTTGGAGTCTGTTTCTTTTGATAGCTTTGTTTCCTGGCTGTGGGTCACATTTACTGCTTATTTGTATGTCTGGTAATTTTTAGCTTTATTTTGGGCATTATGAATTCAACATTGTTGAAAGTCTGGGTTTTTTGTCTTTCTAAGTATGTTGAGTTTTGTTCTGGAATGAGTTAATTTCATTGGAGCTGTTCTTAATCCTATCTAAGCTTGATTTTGAGCATTAGTCGGGTCAGTCTAGAGTACTGCTTACTCCAGGGTATGGTCCTTACCCTCATGACCTGGTCCTTTGTCATGTCTTAGCTGAATTCCTGGGATATAATTAGGTTCCTGCACCAAGAGTAAGATAGGAACTCGAAGCTCTCCCTTTAGTACTGAGGAGTCTTTAGTATCTCTGTTCTTCATTTAACCCCATAGTAGCCATTGTCTGCTGTATATTTCAGAATATTGTGCTACCCACACATGTAGCCTATCCTTCTGCCCTACCCTCACTTACCCCAACACTGCACAACTGCCTCACCTTCAGTACCATGTCCTGTGAATTCTATTGACTTCAACTGCCTCAAATTCTGTGATTACTGAACTTTATCTCCCTGTGCTGGTCAGAAAATTGTCCCTATCCAGAAAGCTTGGATGAATGTGGGACTCACCCCACGTGTTTCTCTTTTCTCGCAGATCAGTCTGCACTGCCTGTATCCAATGCCTGAAAACAGGTGGTTCATGTGTTCTGTCCAGTGTTATAGTTATTTACAGCAGGAAGGAAGTTCAGTATCAGTTACTCTATTATGGCTGGAAACAGAGTAAACAGTGTATGTTACTCATTTAGTTTTACATATACCAAACAGATGCTTACAGTTTCATCTGCAAAATAAGGGTATGGCAAATATAATAAGAAACTTTATAAATAGATTGCATGTTAAGACTAATTGCATATTTGGGAAGTTGCTGAACATTAATCAGGAAATACTATTTGTTTCAAGCCTTGTTATAATTGCCTTTTATAATCAAACAGTTTCAGAAATAACAATTGGAAATCCTTAATGGTGATCCTGGTTTCTTTATTAGTGACTGTCTTTTGAAGTCAAAGCTTCTTTAATTGCAAAGAACTAGAATCCACTCAAATTGTTCAAACAAAAGTAGGCGGATTATTTCAACTTGCAAATTTACTACAGAATTGAAGTATGTTTGATGGATGAAATTCCTGGAGAAGATGAATGGGTCAGGCTCCTCCAAAAGCCTTCAACATTTTTTTGAGCTTTACTGTTTTCATCTGTATATTAGAAAGTTTAAAACCTACCTTCAACTCATAGGGTTGATGCCTGACAACATTTCTTAACCTTGTGAAATTATATTTATTTTTTATTTATTATTTTTATTATTTATTTATTTTATTATTTTATTTATTATTTTATTACTTATTATTACTTATTATTTATTTTTTTATATTTATTTTTTAAGGCCTGGTTTAAATGTACGTAAGAATTCATTGTTTTCCTTCATGGGTAGCAAGATTGTTCTTTGTATTATCGCTTCAGAGCTCCATTCCCATATATAGTTAATGAGTAATAAATATTTGAATAAATGAAGATCAAATGAGAATGTATATCTGAAAAGACTTTGAAAATTATTAAGTGTATGACCATGTGGAAGATATTTTTATTAAGATCTTTTATTGATTTGCAAAACTTATCTCCTTTTTCTGCTTTTAAATTGAAAATCTTATATTGACTTATTGGAATTTTTTGAGTATTTTTTTAAATTGAAATGATTTTAAGTTGGAAGGTGTGGGTTAATGAATGTATATTGGCTTATTAAACAATCAATACATTCTGTAGTTTTTTGTTTTTAAGAAGTAACCAGATCCTTGATGTTTTCTTGTTTTGTTTTTGTGATATCTTTGGTATTAAAGTTTAGGAATAAAGGGTCATGGCTAATTTAAGAGTCTACTGTGGTTTGATTTTAGTGGGCATCAACAAATAGCAATAATCCATTGCCTAAACTTTTGTTAATTTCCCAAACATATGTTTTTAAATTCTCTAAGTTTACTAATTTTATTTTCTTAATATTCTAGCTCTCTATCAAAATCAACTCACATCATTGAGAAGATAATTTTGATGACATGTTTTGCTGAAAAGACAACTGAGAAAAATTTTACGAATGGGATGAACACGTGCCGGTTGATTGACTACCTACTGCAATTTGAATGTTAGCATTACCCACCTGGTACAGTTACCTAGTGATGTACCTGTTCTCACAATACCCTATTTCAGTGTGCTTGTCTTGATTAAAGAATTCAAAGTGGAGTACCGCAAACTTGATATGGATAATAAAAAGAAAGACAAGGACAAATCAGATGATAGAATGGCACGACCTAGTGGTCGGTCGGGACACAACACTCGAGGAACTGGGTCTTCGTCCTCTGGAGTTTTAATGGTTGGACCCAACTTTAGAGTTGGAAAAAAAATTGGATGTGGCAATTTTGGAGAATTACGATTAGGTAAGGCTATTTTGTTTACTACATTATGTTGGAAGAATTTTGATTTTAATGAAAGATCCTTTCTAATGAAAATGATTTACTTATTGTTTAGTTGTTTAATTGTTGTGGTAATTTTAAAGAATATAGATGTTGGGAATTTCTTATGTGCTTGTATTTTCATTTGTAAGGAGTTCCCTAGTATAGGAATGTCTATTTACTTGAAGTTAAGTATCCAGAATATGGGAGAAAAGGAAGTAAATTAAAAAGCCCCAAGAGGCTAAAATAAGTGCCAGGAGGGCCTTTGCAGTGTATTTTTTAGAATGATATTTAGGCTACTTTTTCAGATTTGAAAACATTTAGTAACTGATCACTTTAGGAGTATATATATGGCTTAAAGTCAAGGTAATATGCTGAAACCACATAAAAATCAGTGAAATTTACATTGTTGTAATTAATCCCCCACCCCTCCCCTGCCAGTGTATCCAGGGTGCTGCTCGGGAATGTATGTGCTTAACAAGTGATACAAAGTACTGACTCAGTTTAATCTTATTTATAAGCAGGCAAGTTTGGGAAACATTGGTCCAGTTAAACCTCCTAACTCTACATTTAAGGCAGTTGAAACTCAGCGAGGGAAAATTACTTGCCAAATGTCGCACAGCAATTTAATGACAGACTTAAGATGAAAATCTAGTTTTTTAACTTCCCGTACAGTAGAGATGTAGCTGTCTTCATTGACGAGAAACAAGAAGGAGGGTAGCACGGTTATATGGGAGTCAGTATTGAAGTACCTTGAGGATTCTGGTCCGTGGACTGCCAAGAGTGGAAACTTGAGAAGTAAAAAAAGAAAACTTGGCTTCACAATCTTCCTTAGATCGAACTCCGCTTGTTAGATATAAATCCAGTTATGTTATATCTACTCAACTGCTTCTCATTTTCATCTTATAAAACACGCTAATTTGTAGTTGACTCCTTCGTTTTATTACCGTTTTGTGTAGTTAATGTACGTGAAATCTTTGAATGAAGCAAGCCAATAAAAGGCAGTGACATACTTTGTACATAGCTGTAATATGATGTGACTGGCAGACTCTTTTGCATGTTGGTAGGGACTCAAATACTTGAAAGGTAAATGTTTTACATTTTGCTTTTTGAAGGGTATTGAATTAGATCTTTTGAAATTCTTAAATTGTTTCTGATTTTGAAGTTAGGAAAACCAGATTATTTACTTGTCTAACTTTGAGCACCATTCATCCCTTCATTCAAAATTTATTGCATGTCTGTCATGTATGAGGCATGATTAGGCACTGATAATAGACTGAAAAAATATAAAAATTGCCCATGCCGCTGTGGAATACATAAGTCATTTAACTACTCGGGGCCTCAGATTCCTCAACTTTAAAATGGGATTATTTCTACTTCCTAGGTCATTGTGAAGATTAAATTTAGATGATAATGTAAAAGGACCAATACTATACCCTCATATTTTAGGAAAATAATGATTTGCTGCTCCTTTAGAAGACAACATCAAGATATTTGCTCACTTTTAGAATTAAAATTATAGCATATTGTTTGTATATTTATTTAAATTTATTTATATAAATTAGCTCTACAGCTATCTATTATGTCATATATATATTTGTACTATATCCATCTATTGCTCTCTGTGTGTATGACTATAGTACTTTGGCCATTTTTATTCAAAATTAGTTTCATATAATTTATGTTAAAATAACTACACATATATACATATATATACAAAATAACTACATATATATATGTGTGTGTGTGTGTGTCTACCCACACAAAACAAATCTAGTAGACCATTTTAACCAGGGCAATATGAGAAACCATATGTACCAAATACTGAAACTTTATATGCTGCTTACTGAAAAAGCAGTAAAATACCCCTTTCTTTTAGTCTGTGAATAAGCAGGAATAGGAGTAAGATGACTTCTTAGTCTACCTATCCATTCATCTATTTGTATCTATCTAATCCGTTTATGGATGTTTATTGTATATTTGTATACATTTATTTATTTAAATATATTATCTATATATGTATCTGTGTCATATATATTTTTAATATATGTCATGTATTCTTGTAGAGCTAATTTAATATGTTATTCTTTCTTATTGATAGACTATTAAATAAAGGGGCATTTTACTCCTTTTTTTAAGGCCCCAAATGATTTCTCTGTACAGAAAAAGTTATTATAAGCATCATTCTTTGTATAACTGGACAAACTTGCTAATGTTAAAAGCTAGTTTGAATTCTTAAAGTGCTTTCTTTAAAACTACATTAATATACACATCTTGAACATTTGATTCCTGGCGCTAAAATGTTTATGGTTAGTATTGGGTAAGAAAGAATATAAGGTATACATGTTTTAGGTAAGTGATTTTTACCAAAGATGCTATCGGCAATTTGGGCTGGACAGTTCTTTATTTGTAAAAGACTGTCCCACAGATTGCATGGTGTTTAGAACTTCAGACCTCTTGGGCACTAAATAGGAGCTGCCCCTCCATCACAAACTCAAATGCATTCCCCTACCTACCATTTCCAGATGCCCCAAGGAGAAGACAGTATTACCCACTGTTGAAACTTCTCTTAGAGGTAATTATTAAAAAAAAAGTTAGACAGATGTAAGAAATTGGCCTTGAGATTTTTAAAAAATAGGTAAACATTTTAAATGATAATGTAAAATTAAATTTAAGTAAACGTATTTTACTATCATTTTTATCTGTATTTTTTATTGTAAAATGATGAATTGATGTATTTTTGTTTCTATTTTATCTTTATATGTGTTGGTGGTAAGACTTGCATTCTGCATGTTAGTAGATGTATTTCTAGCTTAGACAATCAACCAAAACCCCTAGAAATGTTTTTAACAGGCACTGAATGAGACCAAACATAGCTAGTTAAATATAAGGTTGTATTATACATATTTTTTATTTTTCTGTATATTGTGATGTTTTGACATCTTACAAAGCCTTTCTGGCTGGGGAGAGACTGCTCCTCCTGGGGCTATCAATTATTAGAGTAACAAAGAACCTAGTTGGGAGCATGCCGTTGATCTGCAAACTAACCAATCCAGAACCATACCTCCTCTGTGTGGCTGGTACACTGCAGGAGGCAATCTTCCTCTTCCTTAGTCATCCATTGGCCAGGTACAGCACAACTAGAGACCAGCTCTATAGCCCAGAGGCCACCAGAATTATTCACTACCAGAATTACTTGCCACCAGAATTATTCAAACTAGCCAGTCCTAAATTATTTACCTGCCCTACCTTGCCTTTCCTGTGGAAACTCCAATAAAAGCCCTTGGTCTAAGCTCTCCCCTTGCTCCTGTCTTCTACTACCTGACCAAAACGTGGTGCTTTTCCTGTGATCCCTCTCCAGGATCTGTGAGTATAATAAACTTTGTTTTCCTGAGCCTCTTATGTGTCCCCTCTTGTGGCTACACCTGACTGCCTATCGCATGAAAGAACACAGAACAAGAGTGTTATATATTGCTTTGTGAATTGCTACATCTGAAATAAGATACTGTAACTTTGACATAATTAAGTATGCCATAGGAATTTTCGTAACTTCTCGTTTTTGTTTCTTCTCTTCTTATTCCTATATATAGCTCATAACTCTTCTTATTTTATTTATATTTAAGAATTGTTTTGTTGAAAATTCTGCAGGCCTTACAATATATATCTAATAAATATGCAGATTAGAGTGGATTCATCATTTTTGTTTTTATTGATGATTTTCTACTGTTGCTAACTGAAGCATATTATAAAACTAAACTGAAAAATGTGATAATTAGCAATAGACTATGATGCTATAACAAAGAGATCCTACAATATTGTGGTGTTAAACAAAATAGTTTTTCTTTCATATAATGAACCAGAGGGAGAGTACCCAGGGCTGTCAGGGTACCTCTACATCCGCAACATGAGGCTTCTGTGTGAGGTGATTGCTCCAGTTGTTGCTATTTCCCAGCCAGCAGGAAGAAGAAAAAGGGCCAGGAGAGCACACATTCATTCTTGGAAGTGGGGAGTGACATACCTCATGTCCACTCATATACAGAACTTAATCACATGACCACACCAAGCTGAAAGAAAGGCTGGAAATGTAGTCTCTAGCTGGACCACCACTTTAAAACTTAGGCATTCGATTATAGAAGAGGAGCATGGATTTTGGTGGGTGACTAGTAGTCCCTGTTATGAATATATATATATATATATAGTTTCTGTAGAACTTACTTTTCTGTGATAATTACCATCCAAACACAAAAAAATTGTTAAAACCATATTTCCAAGGTCAATATGGCGCAAAGCTGTGTTGGAAATGTCTTTTGAAATTGGATTAAAACAACAGTTACCTGGAACCAGTCTACTTGGAGCCTTCTCTTAACTGGATTCCTTCCACACAAACACTCCTTCCCTCTCACTCATATTATACACACAGACACCTACCTTGTGCATCATTTGTTCATGCATATAACAAATATTGATTAAAAGCCAACTATGTGTGGCTATGCCTATGGTAGATGACAAAAATGCCTTGGTAGTATTGTTTGATCATTGTTCATATGTTTTTAAATATGACCCTCAAAGTTGAGCAAAATCTCTAATGTTCAAAAAAAGGTGATGCTTTTAGGATTTAGTGCTTTCTGCTGTGATCTACAAGAAGTCATTTTACCTATAAATGCCAACAAAAAACAGTACTTTTAGAAGTATTTGGTGTATTTTGGTTCTGTGAAATCTGTATTTAACGAAACTTTTCATCTGTGATTATTTTTCCCTTGTGTACTTGTGAATAAATAGCATATTCAAAATAGTTATGAAAAGATGATAATATCTTGAGGAAATATAAATTCCATCTGTGAACTCAAAACAGAATTGTTCCTTTGTTAGACACCAGTTCTTTAAGATTAAGTGTCTCACTGTTTCATTAAATTTTTAACTATACACTTACTCTAGAGGATGCCTAAAATTTCATATATAATATATTCTTGAAAATGTATTTGAAGGTACATCTAAATTCTGAACTAATTAACTAAAAATATGTGTTTTCTAATATTAATTTTTAGTATTTATAGGCTCAATGAGTACCTGTATACAGCTTAACATTCACCCACTTTTGGTACTCCTATTGAGTTCCATCTTTGTGTCATCTATAATGGGTTTAAGAGACTTGGTATGAATGCTATTTTTTTAACTTACTTTTATAAAATAAGGACAAAATTCAGAAAAGTATTATATGTTTTAACAAACCCTGCTGCACAATGGTGGCAACATGTCTGAGACTGAAATTTTGCCTAGAAGTTTTACTGCCATTCATCAGCTGCTGTATGAGAGGAAGTTAGGGGTATTATGCTGGAAGATCACGTGTGAAAGTTGATGATTGCCTATTCTGTGTTCAGTAGCCAGTGTGACCAGGGTCAGCTACTATCATGGTTAAAAAAACAGCTATCATTATTCTATTTTTCTTATAAAAATAACACATGCTTATTGAAAAAATATTGGAAATTCTGAAACCACATATGGTTCTATTTTTTATTCTTTTTACTGTGCTTGTAAAGAATCACATTAATTTATTTATCAAATTGTCTTCATATTCTTATTGCCTCAGAAATTCTCCATAGTATTTTACTTAGGCTACAGATGCTGACCCATTGGAATTTTGTAGATTATTTTCAGTTTGCCAATACCAAAGGTTTCTGTAGTTCATTTGGAGTTTTTACATATTAATGATATTAAATCTTTGTTCTAGTTTGTCATTTACCTGTCCTTTGTATATGATACAGTTTTTCAACATACAGAAGTTTGAAATATTTTATGCAATCAAGTCTGTATAAAATCTTCTGATATTTTTATCTTTTTCTGTTTTTTTTTTAATGCTCAGAAAGCCTTCCATACATTGGGCTGATAAGTATATTTTCTTGTTTTATGGCTTATATCTAACTCTTAAAATATCTGGAATTTAATTTGGTTGTAAGTTGAGGTGCTATAACCCTTTTTCCCCTTGAAGCTGTTAACTGCTTTGTCAGAGCCAATTAATGAATAATACTTTTCTTACTTTATTTCATTTTTAATGCATTCCAGATTTTGCTATGTATTTGGAATATTTTCTAGATTACATTTCAGCCCTAATAAGATTTACATCCCATAATAATGAAGGATTTAAAATGAAGTGGTGATTGGGAGAGAAATTTTGTATTCCTGTTTTTATATGAGAGTTCTGATTTTGAAATTTAGTTTAGCATATGTTTGACTATTGATTACTTTCTGAGTTATGTACAGTATTCCAATAAAATAAGAATCTTTCCATTTTTATGTGGGCTAAAGTATTTATTAGTATCACTTTCTATTCTGAATCCAGGTGAAATGCTAAATACATCATTGAGTTCATCATAAGTTTAATATTTCCTTGTCATTGAGGTTTTTGCTAAATAGTTAGAAGCAAAAACCTATGCTTGATTTAAATATACTGTGTGCTTTTTTTTCTCTCACAGAACAGTTTTATATAATATTTCTTTAAAAATTAATTACCGGTAGAATCTGACTCCTTTTTTCTTTTTCAAGGGAAAAATTTATACACAAATGAATATGTGGCAATTAAACTGGTAAGTTCATGTTTCTTATTTTTCCTTAAATATTACTGGGAAATTGATGTGCATAACTGATCTTTTGTTATTAAGTTCCTAGCATCACCATGCCCCTCAAGTGTATGATAATGTATAGCATGTCTGTGTCTTTCTATGCCATGAAAACTCAATCCCTGTACTTTGTAATCAGATAGAATACTGTACTTTGGAAGCATTTTAGAATTGAATTTTTGAATTTGGCACTATTTTTAATTTAAGGAAGCTGGCATATTGGCATTTTTAATTAGGTAAAAATTAGAAAGCAAGATTTCTCTTTCTGATTCAAGCATTTGGGTAAAAGTGTCCTTAGTATTCAGGATTATGTTGTTTGAAAATATATTTCCAGGTAGCTTCCAAAATCTCATTTTCTGTTGATATTTTATATGTGGTAAAGCTGACTGTTGCCTGACCTTCAGGGCTTTATAAATGCTTGATGTGGGTGGAGGATAGCAGGGAAAGCAAACTCCCACGGGACTATTCTGAAGTCCTAAATGTGCCCAGTACCACAGCTGTAGGGCAGTGTTTTTTTTTTAGTAGAGTTGGGATCTGGGAATTTTTATAAGACATAATTTCTTCTGGCACAACTTTTCTATCTGGTTTGCCAGCCAGGTTTCCCTGAGGTTAAGCATGACTTGGTTTTTCCAGTCTGCCTGCCATTGTCAATCTTCTCTCTGCCAATACAACCACTATTATTAGGGTAATGTGAGGTTAATGTATAAGGAGAGACCATTAGAGGAAGAGGCAAATGGGAGAAATAAAAAAACTTTTGGGATCAGATAGAATACTGTACTACTTAATTTTAAGTATCTTTGTGAGAGTAGACTGAGTTTCACTGCAACAAATGCTGTTTATTTTCACTGGGAAATAAAGATGCACAGTAGGGTTGTAGTGCCACCAGGAGAGAGTGGCTGGTTGACATGTGGATTGGGACTGACATTTACCTAGATAAATTCACCTTGGTTTTAAGGTTTGGTCCTTGGCTTTATGACAGAATATCTGGTTTGGTCATCTCATTAAGACTGTCACTGTTACTCAGAGGTGAATTCACAGTAATCAGTTCACACAGTTCAAGCTCTCAGAGTTGTAAATATTTAGAAAGATTTAATTTCTAATTTATAATGAGATATTTTACTATTGCAGGTCCAGAATGCCCCAAATTAGTATAAATAATATATTTTCTTTCTATAGGGATTACAAATTTCCCTCATGAGCATGAAATTAGGACAAGGGGAGTTAGTTTGTATGAGTCACAATAGGGAGGATGCGGAGACTGGACAGTGTTTGAATGAACATTGCTGCTTTTCATTTCTTTGGAATTCTTCCTTTTCCCATGTTCTAGGCCAGTGGTCTGGGATCTAGACATTGTACAGTGTTAGGAGTGGGAGTGGCACGTGAGGGTAGAGGTGTGGTAACACCCGTATTCTGAATTACTGATGCAGCAGCCTATAGTGAGCAGCTCCGCTCATGGGAGCATGTGAATGATATTTAACCACTATGTTACGGAGAATAAACCATTGTGTCAAAACAGGAGCCACTGCTTTAGTGTGACCTTTCCTTCTCTGTTTCAGTCCTTAAGTGGTGACCCCTAGGTCCTTTTATTTTCCGATTTGGAGCTTGTTTACCCTGTTGACACCATTGAACCTTAGTAAACATTTATTATGTCATCTTTCAGCCTTCTTATATATGCACACATATATTACTCTTTTTAGTTTATCTTTGTGCCATATCACTATCCACTTAATTATTTTTCTTCTTCTTTTGTTTTTTGAACATTCTTTCTCTGCTCTGATTTATCCCTTTTTAAAGCACAGTCATCACTACATATAATAGTTGTGGTTATTCAGTGTTCTTTGTGGGCACTGGGAATATTTTCGTATCTTTGTTTAGTATTTTAAGGTTGAAGTATGATATAGAGTCATGTTCACTTCAAATTTATCAAAAAAGTATATTGGCAGGACAGAAAAATTTTCACATAAACTATTGGACTGTATTTGGTACTTAGTTTACTAAATATATATATATATATATATTTAGTACATACATAGGTACTAAATACATATTTAGCATATGTATTACTATATACTATACATATACTATATGAATAGTATACTATATATACTATATATAGTATACTATATATATGTATACTATATATACGTACATACATATGTATATATAAATGTAAAATGTCCTTATATATTTTTTGTTTGTATCTGTTGTATCTGTTTATAACAGATAACATAATTTTGTTCAAAACCTGCCTTAAAAGTGATTACTTGCAAATGTTATTTCTATATGCCTTCAGTGCTGATTTTTGTACTTTGGTACAAATGAAGGCTTTATTTGATAACAGTGACTGCTCTCAGCTCTGTTATCTCTTAGAAAGGTTTTTACATTTATCTAGTGTTGTCCTAGTTCAGACTGATAACTTGTTCAGGGTAATTTGTTAATTCACTCTCAGCCACTACTTGCATATCTTGTTGTTTGCACTTATATAATAACCTGTTGTCCGTGAATAATGAAAATGTCATCCTGTGATGAGGTGACTTCTGTTTGTACTGGAATCAAGTGGAACTGACTCAACTAAGTTAGAACTGGGTTTCTGTTTTTACTTAAGGAATATTAATGATTTAATAAGTTATGTATTTAATTTCGCTGGTGATTGCATAAGTGACCATCTTTTATTACATGTTATGGTTATGTACTATTATATAGTTAACTGAAAAATTATTGGTAACATAGCATTCATTATGTAGAAGGCACTGTTTTAAGTCATATATGTGTATGTGTGTGTATATGTGTATTATATATATGTATAATGAGAAAGATAAAGTTTTTCTCCTCTTTTATAGATGGGGGAACTGAAAAGTACAGAAAGGTTAAGTTGCTTGTCAAAGTCACACAGCTAGTAACTAGTGGATTTAGGATTCCAACCCAGTACAGTTTAGATTCAATGTCTGTGCTTGTAACTATTCTACTATCCTGCCTCTCAAGAACTAGGCTGATTATTTTCTCTTATAATAATCTTTATGATTGTAATTGTTCCATTGGGCTTTTACTAGTCTTTGTTGAAGCCGTATCTGAAGTCTTTGTTGTTGGTTGTAGTTTCATTATGATATGTCTTGGTATAAATTTCTTTTTAGTTATTCTCTTTGGCATTCACATTCCTTTTGAATCTGTGGTTTGTTATCTTTCATCTGTATAGCAGTTATTTCTTCAGTTCTTGCCTCTGCTCGCTTTTCTCTCTCGTTTCCTCCTGAGACTCTTATCAAATGCATATTAGATGTTCTCATTTCATTGTCCAGATCTCTAATCATTTTTTCTGTATTTTCTGTTTTTCTTCCTTAATAATGCATTCTGTATAATTTATATAGATGCATTCTACATAGTTTTCTAATTCTGTAGATGTTTTTCTGTGTCTTACAGTTTCCAAATTATTTTCTCTGTTGTCTCAATCTACTGGCAAACTAAATTTTACATTTTGGTTATTGTAGTGTTTTTTTATTTCTTGAAGTTCTGTTGGTTTTGTTTAAATTTTGTTACCTCTTATACTTTCCTGTTGGATCTTATTCAAATTTCTTATGTCACCCTGTTATAGTTTCCTGTATTCTGCAGATGTTTTCACACATTCATTATTTATTTCTTGTTTCTAAAATCTATGTTGCTTCTGTTTATGTTGTCTCTGTGTATGTGTGTGTGTATACATAAATCTCAAAAATGTTGAGTGCAAAAAGCCAGAGACATACATATAAAACATATACTGTCTAATGTCATTTATATGATATCCAGTAACAGAAAAAACTAATTCAAAGGTGATAGAAGTCAAAAAGTGGTTACCTCTGAGCGAAGGGAAATGTTCTGAAGATTTTTTGAGGTGGTAGTGGCAGGGATATATACAGTTAATAAAGCTCATGGACCTAATGCTTACGAAGCATGTTTTTTATTGTAAGTTATGCCTCAACTAAAAATTTTAAAAAATATGTTGTTCCTACCATCAAAACTTTCATATCTCCATCTTTGTTCTTTCTTTCTTTTCTATGACTTCACTTTAACCTAGAACCTTTACATCATAAATATACAGTTCAGAGGTGAATTCTTGGGAACAGGAGAAGTAGAGTAAGGACACCATTCCCCTAGTCATGCATGTTCGGATTATACTTTTCTTCGGGGTCAAAGAATCAAACATAGATTTTCCTAATGCTTGGTCTAATAGGCACTTAACCTTATGTACATTTATGGCATCAATTTACTTTACAATGAATGTGAAGTTTATTTTTATATGGCTCTAACTTTTAGAGAGACAAAGATGCCTAATAAAATATTACATTATATATATGTGTTGATACCAAGATTTAGAATATTTGGAAGTGGAACCTAGTGTTCTTTTAATAACTTAAATATTTTTTGTTGTTTCTTTTTTAATTAGGAGCCTATGAAATCCAGAGCACCACAGCTACATTTGGAATACAGATTCTACAAGCAGTTAGGATCTGGAGGTAAAGTTTTATATTCATTTTAAATTTGTAATAAAAGGGATTGATTGTCATGATCATAACTCATTAGTTTCAAAGAATAGTATTTTAAGTTTCATTAAAATGCATCACTTCTTAAGGCCATGGTCACTAGCCGTTTTCTTGCTAGAATCTTGATGTTCCCTTTTTATTTTAAATTTGACATTTTTGGAGCTTTTTGTGTTGGTGCTAATATGAGTAGAGAACATTGTGAAAATATTTAATTTGAGAATATAAGATGCATATAACTTCCATATTCTTAGCCTTTTTGGTGATATTATAGTTATTGGAATGAATTATAACATTGTGGTAGGCTGGAAATGGCCCCATAAGAGATACCCATATCATCATCCCTGGAATCTGTAAATGTTAGCTTATAGCAAAGACTTTGCAGGTGTGATTAAATTAAGGATCTTGGGATGGGGAGATTATTTTGTATTTTCTGGGTAGTCCCTAAATGCAATCACAAATATCCTTATAACAGAGAGGCAGAGGGACATTTTACAAACACGGAAGTGGTGAAGGTAAAGTGGCTATAATAGAGGCAGAGGTTGGAGTGATAGAACCATAAGCCAAGGAATGCTGGTGGCTGCCAGAACCTGAAGAGGCTTCTAGGATTCTCCTTTAGAACCTTCAGAGGGAGTGTGCCCCTGCCAACACCTCGATTCAGCCTAGCAAAACTGATTTCAGATTTCTGGCTTCCAGAACCATGAGAAAATCAGTTTTTGTTGTTTTAGGCTACAAGTACGTAGTAATTACAGTGACTATAGGAACTAATACAGATATATTTTTACATAAACTCCAAATCTAAGTGAGAATGGATATTTGGTGCCACTGGAAAAAACTAAGGAGAAAATTTCTTATTGTATGTTGCATTTCCTTTATGGTAAAGCTTCTCCCAGCTCTACTTTTTCTGTTCGCTCCTATTCTATTACCTGTAATGATTTTATATGTACAGTTTCTTACGAGGTAGGGATATTTTGTTTCCCAGATTTTATAAAATGGAATTTTTTCATGTGTCTTTTCGTAAGCACATGTTTATATTTTAACTGGTAGAGCTGTCCATTTCTTAATACATTTTCAATTCTGCATTCTTTTTTTCTAAGAGCATACTTTCCAAATGAGTAGTCATTGTGGGGACAAGAAGTTAACATTTTGTATTATTAATCTTTTTATCACTGTAGACTTCTTGTAATGCATATTTAAGTCTGATACAGACAGGACTCTAGGAGTTATCAAAATTATCATTGACAACTGAGATTTAAAGGATAGGGAGATAAAACTAATTACATGTGGACCTACACATATTAGTTAGGACTAGCAAGTGACAAAAAGCTGAGAAGCTAAGTGGAAAAAAAAGTTTATTGGCTCATGTACTGGACATTCAGGGAAAGGACCTATATATAAGGCATTGCTATATCCAGGACTTGCTGTCATCAGGGACATTTTTCAGTTTGTCTCTATGCTCTACCTTTGTGTGTGTGTGTAAACTTCATTCTCTGGTTGAACCTTCTTATGAGAAAGTAGAGGTGGTTACCAATAGCCTAGCTTAGCAATTGTAAAAGCATCCTTTTCCTAAAAATTCCAGCAAATGTTCTAGAATTGAATCTTACTGTCTTATTTTGTGTCCCGTGCCTTTCCTTGGTTTAATCATTGTGAATTTGCTTTCCCAGACTTAGCTCTTGTGCTCATCCCAGCAGCTACCTGAAACTCAGGGACTGGGGAACGGGAGAGGTGGTTGCCTATTGGGAAATTGAGGTGGTATCAGAAGGAGGAAGATTGCATGCTGAGGAGATGGCAACAGGTCTATCTACTTAAGTAGTAAAACTACCATTTGGAAAAATAGGATTGAATACTTTAATTGGATAAGAATGAATAAGTCAATTTAGAGTTTAAGAAGTCATTGAATTGAATACCAGATTTGCACTTACTTTTATTATTATATTCTTTGGCTTTTTTAACTTAAAAAATTATTCGAAAGATAGTAATAAAAATGAAGCATGCATCTTTTACCACTTGAATGCCATAGGACTACGGTGTTGCACAACTCCAGGGACCACCGTTTACAGGGAAGTTTATGTATTTGAGGGTGCTCCCCTGTGCTCTACGGCATAGCATTTACATAGATTGAAATATGGATGGTATTGCCTGAAGGTGTGCATTGTGGTGGCTCTGAAACTCTGACAAGTGTGGTTATTTTTGAGTATTTCATATGAATCATGTGAATTTTGGTTACTTGTTAGTGTTTTTATCATGAATTTTAAAAACATTTTTGAGTACCCATGTGAGCCTAGTAGAAAAACAAGAATGATTAATTGTCTGGGGAGAAACTGACAACTTTAAAATAATTTGATGAGGCTGGCCCTGTGGCTGAGTGGTTCAGTTCGTGCATTCCACTTTGGTGGCCCAGGGTTTCACCCATTTGGATTCTGAGCACGGACATGGCACCACGCAACAGGTCATGCTGAACCGGCATCCCACATAGCACAACCAGAAGGACCTACAACTATAATACATGGCTGTCTACTGGAGGGCTTTGGGGAGAAGAAGAAGAAGAAAAAAAGATTGGCAACAGATATTAGCTCAGGTGCCAATCTTTAAAAAAAAAAATTGATTTTGGAATTGATACTTAAAAGGATTATGTTTTCAGACTGCTCTTAATCATAAATGGGCCATTCAAAGTAATTTAACCTATGACTCTCTTATGGTATGTTATTTCTTTTAAGTAGCAACTTGCTTGTCAGTGTTAACATTAGATATATTTAATCAATATCCAGAATATATAAAGACCTCCTAAAACTCAACAATAAAATACAAACAATCCAACTAAAAAATGGGCAAAGGACTTGAATAGATATTTCTCTAAAGAAGATATACAAATGGCTAATAAGCACATGAAAAAAGGTCAGTATCACTAATCATTAGGGAAATGTAACTCAAAGCCACCAAGACATACCACTTCACACCCATTAGAATGCCTATTATCAAATAAACAAAAAACAACCCACAAACCAGTAAACAACAAGTGTTGGTGTGAATGTAGAAAAATTTGAATCTTTGTGCATAGCTTGTGGGAGTGTAAAATGATGCAGCCATTGTAGAAAATAGTATGTGTCTTCCTCAAAAAATTAAACATAGAGGTGCCAGCTGGGTGGCTGAGTGGTTGAGTTCGCATGCTCCACTTTGGCAGCCTGGAGTTTGCTGGTTTGGATCCTGGGTGTGGAACCATGCACTGCTCGTCAAGCCATGCTGTGGAGGCAGCCCACATAGAAGAACTAGAATGACCTACAACTAGGATATATAGCTATGTACTGGGGCTTTGGGGAGGGAAAAAAAAGAAGATTGGCAACAGATGTTAGCTCAGGGCTAATCTTCCTCAAAAAAAAAAAAAAAGGAAATTCTGCCACATGTTACAATATAGATAAATCTTAAGGACGTTATGCTAACTGAAATAAGCTAGTCACAAAAGGACTAATATTGTATGATTCCAGTACCCAGTGAGGTACCCAGAGTAGTCAGATTCATAGAGACACAAAGCAAGAATGGTGGTTGCCACGGGCTGAGGGGAGAAAGGAATGGGAAGATATTGTTTCATGGGTACAGAGTTTCAGTATGGGATGATGAAAAAGTTCTGGAGATGCATGGTAGTGACGGTTGCACAACAATGTGAATGTACCTAATGCTACTAAACTGTACACTTAAAAATGGTTAAAATGATAAATTTTATATCATGTATGTGCTATGATATGCATATGAGGGGCTGACTCTTTATATTGCTTAGCTTTCCATAGGATTAGAATATTGTTTTATACCATTATCACTTTCTATGATAGCAGAAATTTAATGTATTGAATAGTCTTGTTTTGTCAAGACATCCACTCAGCATTTAGTGAGTAAAATGAGGGTCTAGATTTGGGAGTCATCAGCACCTGGGTGTTTTTAAAGCTAAGGGAATGGGTGAGGGCTCCTGGGGGGGAGTGTAGAGTGACAAGAGAAGAGGAACAAAGACAAAACCGTGCTGCCCACTGCATTGGGTAAGAGTAAATTTCACTGTCAGTAACAAAAAGCATGACGGCAATAGCTTAAACAAGTAAGGGGGTGTTATATGAGGAAAAATAAACAAGGAGTCCCGAGGTGGGCAGTTGTAGGGTTGATATAGCTACTCAAAAGTAAGGAATCAGGCTCTCTCTAGCTTCCTGCTCCTATTTTTAGTACGTGACTTTCATCTATACAATCCTGGATTTCTTGTAACAGGAGGGAGGAGGGAGGAAGGAAAGGATGAAATTACTATCTATAGAAGGATAACTTCTAATTCTTTATCTCCTTCCTCCATTCTTAAAATGGTTATACATGTATGTCCCTATTGGAATCAGAAATTCTCTGTACCTAGAATTACACTCCCTACCTTCTTTTTCTGTCACTTTTCCAATGATTTTTCTCTCTTCCGCAAGACCTGCTTGCTCTTCTGAATTACTTCGTTCTATTAGTGGCACACCCATTCAAGCTGAAGGTGTTAGTCACCTTTGATTTTGGCCTATTGGGATAATCAAAAGTTCTGTCAGTTCTGTCTCTTAAGATGTCTCTTTCTCTTCTTCTGGTCTCCACTGCCGCTTTTCTTTGAATTGGGCTTCTTTTTAGTGCATCTCACCTCCTTACCTCCAGTCCTCATAGAAGCTCATCATTTAGCGTAAAGTCCAAATTTCTTTCTCTTTCTACTAACTCACTTTTGTACTAAACTTACTTTTCCTTGAATAGATCTTATTATTTTCATATGTTTGTATTCGTGTTCTTCTTTCTGGAATGTCTTTTCTTTTCCTCAATGAATTCCTTCTTTCTTTAGGCCCCAGCTAAATGTCAACTTTTTTTTTTTTTTTTGAGGAAGATTAGCCCTGAGCTAACATCTGCCACCAATTCTCCTCTTTTTACTGAGGAAGATTGGCCCTGAGCTAACATCTGTGCCTATCTTCCTCTATTTTTTTATATGT